AATACTGTCAAACTTCCTTTTATTTTTGTGAATCAACATAATATCAACATATTGTCTGATCTAAAGTGGCTATGTGGCAACAACATGGTACCGCAGTCACTGGTGTTCCATAAATACATGTACGTACAAGTATTTGTTGGTACATATACTCATAGCAACTGCATGTAATAATGAATTTTTACAGTTCTGATTTGTTATGTGTTGCAGAGTTTTCAAGGGGACATGAACTTGAGATCCTTTTGAAGATTTATGATGTTGGTTTCCATAACTAAACAAGAAGCTATAAAATACTGTAATATCATATACTGAAAATAATTTCATCAAATACAAGTTACCAAACATTGAAGAATATCTACTTTTTGATGTTTGAGCTTCCAAATTTCATGATCATGTACACTGCCCTTATATCATCATGTTCTAACAAGTATAAAACTCACATACCATAATCTCCTTACATAATTCATACTTGAATGCAAATCTTCTAAAATTAAAAACAAGCATATAAAAATAACATGGAAGACTACCAACCAACACACTTGATGCATTTAAAATCAATTCAAACCTTAAATCATTTATACAATTTAGTTTTCAGGCACGTATCACTTTAATCTATAGCTACAACTTCTGTTAAGTAATTATTTTATAAACTGTTCTTTAATGTTTTAAATCATACATTCAAAGCATGGTGTAGTTTCATTTTCAAACAGCCACATACTACAAGGAAAACGTTGGGGAATAACCAAATATAAGACACTTTTCATCTATGCTATTATCTTTGCAAGTTGATGATGATAAAGTTATGCAACATGCAAGAGAGACGATAAAAACTATCAAAGTTCTAAGATAAAATCAATCAATATCACGAAAGGCAGAGAATGACACTGAACGAACACTATGAAATAATACCAAGCTGAAAGAAAAGGGAAAACTATATATATAAAAAAAATAATTCTAGTTCTAGTTTAATCAGTTATTAAACGTTTAATAGTTCTAGTCTAGTTAGTTATTAAAAGTTAGTTCTAGTTCTAGTTCTAGTTCCGTGTAGTGTGAACTGAAGGCAAAATAAGAGCCTCTTTGTCTTTGTCCAAAAAAGTGCCACATTTTAATTATACTTTTCTTGCTAGTTGTAGAAGTGACAAACAATGATCTATACTATTTCGCAACAGTATTATTTACTTCAATTATCACTCGGCTTGAAAATGATCATCCAACACGGAACGAACGAGTCATGATGGTTGACTTCCATGCGAATCCCTCCCCCATATTCAGGAAAAATTGCAAAAAAAATGTCCTAAAACAACGTAATACATTATAAATCCCATAGTCCCCCTCGTGTAAAATATACCAAGGATTCTACTGAACCATAAAATTCCCTTAAACTCCGCGCTAAAAAGAAGTAAAACACGTAAAATACTCACTTGACACGGATGATGTGCGCCATCGCTTCCTTCGCTCGCTTTTGAATCCCCGACTGATCGCTTTGTTTTGAACTTGGCCGATGGTTCTGGTTCAAACATACGTCGAGGAAAAAAAGTTCTAACGAAATCATCCAGATACATACCTAACACAAAGTTCAATTCAAGACACCATCATAGTTGTAATTTATTAAATTTATTATTTCTATTTATTCCAGATAAGGCCATAGAGGATTGCGTCATCCGAGAGAAGAAACGGAGGTCGAGTCTCTTTTTCCTCAGTCGATGGCGAGACTTGCCGGCGGGCAGACGTCTTCGCTCCTCCTCCCTCCCTCCCCTGTGGACGCTCAATCATGTGCTAAGCCATACACACCATGACCGTTGTGACGAGGACACCTTCTGAATCGTACATTAGATAGTGAAGAGTAAGAAAAAAATAAAATAATAACAATGAATCGCTCCAAGAAGTATACCAACCCGTTCGCTGGGGTTCGCTACGAGCACCTGGTGGCTGGCGTGTCGGGGGGGGTGGCCTCCACGCTCATCCTGCACCCTCTGGACCTCCTCAAGATCAGATTTGCAGGTAAGTGCTCGGTCGACGTCCCCAGCGGAGTGTTTTGAAAGCCAAGGGTGCGTGTGAATGCGAAAAGAACGAGTAGAAAGTAGAATAGGTGGTGATTCATCTCAAACGGTTGCAAGGTCATCAACTGATCCTCGTTGCACCCTCCTCTCCCCCCCTCCCCTCAAAAAAAAGGTTGAATATCACACATTGCATCCAACACACCAGTAGATAAAGTAAAATGCTTAAAAAGTTAGTGAATAATGTCATCTTGAAGTTCTGTCTTGGTTTCGTCATCTCACGCCCTCCACGTGTCGACCTTGGGGGAGAAGGGAAGTGCTGTTAGGGAGGAATGGGTTATGTAAGTGTCGAGTGCCCATGGCTCCGATTAATGTGTGTCTTCGTCTTTATTATTTGTTTGACAATTTAGGAAACGGTGAAAGTGGAAGGATAATGTGTAGAAAGATGTATTTCCATATTGCCGCTGGAGGTCTTTTATTTTTTCAAGATTTTGTTTTCGTCTCCATTTCTAATAGGATTATGTGCTAACTATGTTAAAAAAAATTCAGCTTTGATGATTATTGATTCCGCTAAAATCACGATGGCAAGACTTGTTTGGCTAGTGCCGAGAAGATAAAGATCAGGATTGATAAATTGTTATACATATACACAATAGTCCTGACTCTGGTTAATAATTATTAATAATTAATTGAAGATGATATTCTTGTAGAGGATTAAAAGTTGCATTTGTCGATACTAGAAATAACCTGCAGAGACAAAGAGTAATGCCAGAAATAAAGGAAAAATAACTGCGGAAAATGATGGTCTGGATTTTTAGCTTGTGTCTTTCCATGCATACCGATCTTTAGACAATATTTGCTGGGGAAGTGTTGAGGTGCACACTTTCACGGTATCTTAGGTTATTGAATAAATTTTTGTACTGTAAAGAATTGCTCTGTATTTTAAAATATTCTTTATCTGTGGTATTAGCATTTGTTTTTTTTAGATTGTCTTGTCCTGATGTCTGCAACATTTTGTCCCAAACAAAAATATCATTTTCAATTAGACCTAGTTCAGTACATCCATACTGTAAAGATTAGCCTTTTAGAATTAATCTGATTAGGGCATGTGTGCTGTAAAAAATAAGATCTACGAGAAGGTGAAAGTTAATGCAAAAATAGTTGTTTTTTTTTTCTCTCTCTCTCTCTCTTTCTTTCATTCTTTCTTTCTTTCTTTCTCTTTCTTTCTTTCTCTTTCTTTCTCTCTCTTTCTTTCTCTCTCTTTCTTTCTCTTTCTTTCTCTCTCTTTCTTTCTCTTTCTTTCTCTTTCTTTATTTCTCTTTCTTTCTCTCTCTTTCTTTCTCTTTCTTTCTCTTTCTTTATTTCTCTTTCTTTCTCTCTCTTTCTTTCTTTCTCTCTCTTTCTTTCTCTCTCTTTCTTTCTCTCTCTTTCTCTCTCTTTCTTTCTTTCTCTCTCTTTCTTTCTTTCTCTCTCTTTCTTTCTTTCTCTCTCTTTCTTTCTTTCTCTCTCTTTCTTTCTTTCTCTCTCTTTCTTTCTTTCTCTCTCTTTCTTTCTTTCTCTTTCTTTCTCTCTCTTTCTTTCTTTCTCTCTCTTTCTTTCTTTCTCTCTCTTTCTTTCTTTCTCTCTCTTTCTTTCTTTCTCTCTCTTTCTTTCTTTCTCTCTCTCTCTTTCTTTCTCTCTCTCTCTTTCTTTCTCTCTCTTTCTTTCTCTCTCTCTTTCTCTCTCTCTTTCTCTTTCTCTCTCTCTTTCTCTTTCTCTTTCTCTCTCTCTTTCTCTCTCTCTCTCTTTCTCTCTTTCTCTCTTTCTCTCTTTCTCTCTCTCTCTCTCTCTCTCTCTCTCTCTCTCTCTCTCTCTCTCTCTCTCTCTCTCTCTCTCTCTCTCTCTCTCTCTCTCATTAATAGCATATTCTGTTGGCATATCCATACTAGATCTCTTGACAATTTTGCAAATGATATTAGTATGCGTCAGCCCAATGGGCCAACACCATATTGCAAAGTTATTTTCCTCTGTGTAGAGGTTGGTTATGCCAATATTTGATAAACAGGAAATATGCTGAAATTGTGCAGAATTATTAATTTTTGACCTTGATAATTATTGATTTTTATTATAAAAGATAATGCCTCCATTAATAAAGATAAAGTAGAGAAACACAGACTGGCAGATATACAGTATATACAAGAAACACCAGCAGAGGTTTTTTATTTGCTATAATCATTTCACATTCAACGTTAGGATAATAAGTATCATGACAAGTTGCATTTCCATTTGTATAGCAGGTATGAATGAAAGTTTCCTGAAGTTGGCAGCTGCATAGACAGAATTCTTGGGTGTGAAAGTATTTTTGTTGATGATGCACACTTTCCGTAATATAGCAATACTTAGTTGTGAATTGTTAATATTTAGTTGCTTAACTTATGATTCAAAATATTATTTATTTTATTTATTTATTTATTTATTTATTTTTATTTTATTTATTTATTTATTTTTTTTTCAAATTTTATCCAAATACATATTGTAAAGTGAGCATTAGATACATTTAAATCCAATTCGCCATCTTTTCCTGATTCATAATGTTATGACATTTAAATCTGCCAGAAGGCATAAGGATAACATGTCATCAAAATGTTAAAGAGATAATTCTGGTTAATTCTAGACATAGTGTATGTTATAATGACAGCCAGAATACACAAGAACATTAACATTAACATGTATGATCAATTCAATAATGTACATGAAACAAGTAATATTGCACTTGGAGTGTTGCAAACTTTGTACCAGTTTGTACCAGTTCAAGCTAGAATTCTCTAAGAATAGCTAGTGTAGGTATCTTATGACAGTGTTAAGAGTTTAAAGGATATTAATACATACCAGTTTTAGGACCTAGGATGGTGTTTCAGTGTTACATGCATATTAGAATTCTGAAAATACTTCCTTATTACTTGTTAAAAAAGACAAGTAGCACTTGTTTATTTATTTATTTAATTATTAGATTCTAGAACATACTATTAGGGGGTTATTATTGTTGTCGTTGTTGATATAATTTTTCTCTTTCTTGCCTTCCAGTCAGTGATAGTTCAGCCACGGCGACGAAGCCTCATTACACTGGACTGACTCAGGCTCTAGGTCAGATCTTGAGACACGAGGGGATCAAAGGATTGTATAGAGGAGTCACGCCTAATGTCTGGGGTGCAGGATCTGCCTGGGGCCTCTACTTCTTGTTGTAAGTATCTTATTTATTCATTTTCTTGGCTTTTTTTTTTTTCCCCCTTTCTTTTTTTCTTTTCTTTTTTTTCGTTTCTTTTCTATCTGTGCCTATTTTCCTCGTATTTCAGTTTCTTCTCATTTGTATTTATTCATTCGCTTATTTTGCTTTTTTGACGGTACTTGCCTTTTTGCTTCATTATCTCCTTTCTCTTTTTTTTTTCTTTTTTTTTCACTCTCTACTGTATTGCTTTGGCTGTAATCCATTGAACCTATATTTTATGTGCTAGCAAGAAAAAATATTTCTCATAATTTTTGGAAAGACAAATGTTTTTCACACTAGATGGGGTGAGTTAAAGTCAGCTTGTGTTATTCCCATTTTTATTACATATTTTGGATAGAAAGATCAGGGTATGGAAAATTATGCTTTATAAGTTGAAAAACAGGAGATGGAGTAAGGGAGGGAGGGAGGAAAAGGGAGAAAGAAGAACCAGAATAAATATATTCCAAGAGAGAAAATTAGTGGCACTTTGGTATAAATTGGCTGTGATGAAATAGGTGAGTGAATTCCAGAACATGGTTAGTGGGAGAAGGTGGTTGAAAAGCCGGTGTCCTTTGAGTTTATTTTGGCGAAGTAAGTGCCAATTTCTGGCTAGTGACAGGGAAGTCATCGGGCTTTGGGGGGGGAAAGGGGGGTCAAGTGGTGTGGTTCAAGCTTACTGTGGAATGTTGCTCTTCTTTATTATCTTCTGTTTTTTGGTCTACTCTCTTCTCTCTTGTTTTATTCTCTTCTCTCGTTTCTCCTCTATCTCTTTTGGTCTCCCTCCCTCCCTCCCTCCCTCACTCTCCCTCTTTGTAATGAGCCAACTTGTCACTGGGCCATTGCACCTGCATTTGGGTACTTTTACTTGTGCAGAATAGCCAATCCTGTTTCGTGGCTTTTATTTTTAGTATGTTAATCAAAGCAGTGCCCTCGGTCTCCCAGTGGATCGGATATAACAGGAATTTCTGATGATTTCTTTGTATTTTTCTCCTTTTGCATGGCTGATTCTCGGTTTCAGAAGTTTAAATCACAGATCTGGTTGTTATCTTAATCATGCTAGAAGCTAGATAAAAGACTACAGCTATTTGAGAAGATACTTGTGCCATTCTTGAAATAGGGTTGTATCTGGCTTGGTGTTGCTAATTTTCCTCACTGGCCGCCAGCTAGTAGAAGAAGTTGGCTTTTATTCTTGAACAGCGGTTCTTAACTTTTTAGTTACTACTCTCCCCTTTAGGAATTTGTCCTTCCCTCCATACCTCCCTTGCATCTGTAAATGAAATTCCCTCCCAGATTTTAAAGAAAATTATAAGTAGGTTTTGTTGGTCTTTTTAATGAGTATGAATTGGTGACATCATAATTAAACTTTCTTTTATATGACAAAAGATTATTGGAGAATAATAAAGATAGAGAAATATCTCCCTTTTTTCCAAAAGGCTCGTGCCCTGTTTGGAAAATACTGAAGCCCCCCAGGTTAAGAACCACTGCTCTAGAAAGTAGTTTGTGAGAATACAGACCTCCTGTGGTATAGGATATTTGAAGATTTGGCTGAACACAGTGTAATTATCGGGAGTGTTATAGGCTTTGGTGATGGTGGTGGCACGAGGAGGTTAGTAACAGTGACAATAATGATAACACTAATAGTTTATTATTATTATTATTATTATTATTATTATTATTATTATTATTATTCATTATTACTACCACTACTATTATCATTATTACTACCACTACTATTATCATTATTACTACCACTACTATTATCATATTTACTACCACAACTATAATCATTATTACTAAAACAACTACTATCATTATTACTACCACTACTATTACCATGATTAGTACCACTGCTATTACCAGTATTACTACCACTACTATTACTATTGGTATCACTGTTATTACTACGACTACTGTATCATCTTCCACCGCAACTATTACAACTACTGCTGCTATATATTGTAATTGTTAATTCCAAATGTCAATAAAATCATTAATCTTAAAAGCACCATTAGAACGAAACGACGCATACAATTAAACGATCACGTTACGCAAAGCATGCAAGATAAAGAGTAGATAAAACGACCAGACCGATAACGTGGTCGTAACTGGGATGTTCATAATCACCACAGCCGAAATGAGGAACAGGTGTATAGGTTATTAGAGGCGGAGGTGTTTCCCCAATCAGGAATTATGGGGAACTTTTAGTGTGTTTGTTTTGATGACATCCGATGTTTGTTTATTTTCATTATGGAGAACTTTTAG